GAGAGAGGAGAGAGAGAGAGAGAGAGAGAGAGAGAGAGAGAGAGAGAGAGAGAGAGAGAGAGAGAGAGAGAGAGTTACATACCTGAATCGAGGCTGAGTCTGTGTGAGTGGCAGAGACCGCAAGAGATCTGAACACTTTCTTTTTGTACAATAAAGATATTTTGCTTATCAATCTCTTGCGAGATTCTTGTGTCTCAGCTATCGGCTCCAAGTGTGAATACTCATCTGGATATTCGCTGCATGTGTGCGCGAGGTCGAGTGTGACTGACTTGCGGTTCATTGCACTGGTAGCAGAGCTGGATCCCGCTACATCCGCTTGGAGAAGCAGCGCTGGCAAGGGATAAGGCTGGCGGGAAAAAAAAAAAAAAAAAAAAAAAAAGAGAGAGAAGAGTATCGAGGTTAGAGTGGAGGTGAGGACTGAAGTAGAAGTGGCTCGGAACGGGCGAGCGGCACACGTACCTGCGATCGAGGAGCTTCATCGAGAGGACGTCATCAAGATTAGTGAAGTGTTTCTTGCCCTGACCCTTGTCTTTTACGCAATCTATTTTTGTTATGCTTCGGTATCTTCCCTGAACTTTCCTGGAGACCTCTGCTGCAATTAATTATTTATGTTGATGTCAATCCGGTCGCACTTGATCTTGCCACTGTGAGTCTTTGAGTAAGTTCTACGTGTTGGGGATGCATGTTAACTGAACCCATTAGCAGGATGTATCCCCCGTAAAGTAGGGGACGTTGGCATGAGTAGTGGGCGCTCGTAAAACAACACAGCTAGCCCAATGACCGGTACTGACCGGCACGACCCTGAACCGGAGCTGACGTAGTGAAGGGAGTACATCGCTAGGTACGACCTTGGTAGTTGGATGTATCACCCGAAAGTAGGGAGCATGGGCATGAGCGGCGGACGCTCGTAAAAGAACCCGTCAAGTCCTAAGACCGGTGTCGAGTGCATCGGCTCCCGATTTTCTCGCAAAAGGCGAGAGCCCTCCCGACCATGTCACGCAGGAGTGAAAGAAACAAAACAAAACAAGAGAAAACTTAGAGACAACGCAAAATAACCCCACGAACCACCAAAACGGGCGCGGTCGCATCGTCCCTTCGCGACTCTAGCCGGGTGCGCCAGTCGTAGTTCCCGCGGTCCCCTATGACAGGATAGGTTCCCACGGGGCACAACTTACCTTCCCTAAGGGGCTGTCACCACCCTTAGGGGAGTATCCCTACCGAGCTACTGACCCACGTGCGAAAGGTTTTATATGCAATTGCAGAGGTAGGTCAGCCGAGGGCGTTTACTCGTTTCGTTGTAGCATAGTTACGCATGGGTAAAAACGCCATCCTAACCCGAATGTTGCTCGTTGCTCAGGGCGCTGATCTCCCAAGTACGAGGCATCCGCCGGTTGACTAGGACGGTCTCAACCAAGCGTGAAACCCATCATCCATCCTAGCTCCTTGCACATAACTCAAAAAAAGTCATTAAAGCAAGACACACAAGTCAACAAGAAAGCATACCTATATCAAAAGTTAGCCTTCGAGGCCTTCGCCCGATCAAAATGTCGGCAGCCAATGCTGTCGAGATATAAACAATCCAAAGAAAACCCTCAGTTGGTTCAACATGATAAAAAAACATCATTGCGATGCTGAATCGATTACAATTTGACTTGACTTGATGAATTGACCTACCAAAAATCATCCTTCCCCGTCCTTGATATAGCCAAAAAACTCTGAGTTGCGCCCCTCATAAGGAGAGGGCGTTGCAAAAAAAAACAACGTCAATGAAACCTCTTGCTTAACGTACAAGAAGAACCCTCGACATGACTCGTTGATCTTACTGCAGTTCTACTAATTGAAACATTAAGACAAGACTCATATATTAGATCCCTGAGCCATGCCTCGAACGGTTCGAGAGGAATTCTAACATTGTTAGAACAACACTCCTCGAACAGCCTCAAGGTGTTGCTGCATGATGTGGGTTGGCTAAGTATCAATCGCAGATAATTAACTCAAAGGTGTACTTCATCTTTCTCTCTTTGCTCTCCGTTTCATTGCATTACCTTTATGCACCTCCTGGAGTGGTGGAATTAACAACTCGGCGAATGGAAAATCCCTACTGTTCCCCCATGAATTGTCGTCCACCCATGCTAAAAAATATATCCCCCCCCCTTATCCGTGGCATTTTTGTGCTCCACCTAATGCATGCGCTAACATTCATGCCAACATATGTAATTACCCCTCGATGCCAAAGCGTGATAGTGAAATCATCGGGGCAATCCGAATACTATCCATCCAGTATTCCTATCTACATAAAGTTTTTTTTTTTTTTTAATGATTACCTCGTGAAGCCAAAATATAGTGGTTTCCTCCACGGGACAGTAGGACGTACAACACCTCTGTGGCTCAATTGAAATCTCCAGAGGGTGACGCCCCTTGCGGGCCCGAGCCTCTAACGCGTCAACGCTTGTGAGCTCGTTGTCGTCGAAAATCAAAGTCACGATGCACCCACCTCTCATAACCTTGATCATTCGAGTACCATAAAGTGCAGCCATCCGTGAGGCTAGCCGCCACACTATGGCCCGGAATGCTCTGCTCATCCCGAACAAGTGTTGCGTCTCAGTGTCCCGGATTGAACGACACTAAAGCGGTCGTCGGACGAGGTAATCTTGACACTCACAATGACTCTAGAGAGATATTGGACATTACGTGTGCGATGGAAATACAAAGTATAACCATCAAACTCTCCTAGAGATCAAGCCACATTGCCCCGAATGTTTGAGCACGAGTCTGGAAAAAAACCCTGGCCGCCTCGAAGCATACCGATGAAGCCAATCCACTGAGTCACGAAACATCCGGGTGGCATGCATGAAACATCAAGAGAAGACAGGTAGAAACAACAAGACCTCGATAGCAGGCATCCGCACATCAGCAAACTCGTACGATGTCTGAAGACAGCAGAGTGAGCTATCAAAATTTAGCGCCTTCAGATACCGCGAGAAGAAAAGGGAAAGAGAAGCCTCGAACGACGAATATGAGTCCAACGTAGATACACAAACCCACAAGGACCCGGTCAGAGATGTGGTTCAAAAGAAGTGGAAACCATCGAAAGGCAGGGATAAAAGAACAAGAAAATCTCAGACATATACCTTTGCCAAAGATAGTGAACAAAGATCCCTCAAAATGAGAGAGAACCATAGTCACCGAACAGACTAAGTGCCTGTTCGACCAGAACGAGGAATACCGCAAAAAACAAAAAAAAAATACTGCACAATCCAAAAGGGCTCCCCACGCCGCTGATACAGCAGCCTCGCACCGCAAGACCATCAGGGTCGTCAGGCCCCCAGTCCCTGTCCGCTATAGGAAGAAATTCAATGAATGGCAAATGACCACCGATATATCCTTTGCCATTCCAACAGTAGGAGATCAGGGGACAATGGACAGAACCATCAAAGAAGAAATCTCTGAGGATTTCCCCTCGGGGGTCTTCAGAATCCCCCCCTCCCTCGCAGAAAACCCAGAAGAGGCAGACCAAGATCCTGATCCAGCCAAGTCCTTTGAGCCGATACTCGTAAAAATGGAAGAAAAAGCCAGATTGCACGAAGGACAGGTGTGGAGGGCTTGGAACACGATGACAACTGTGTCGTACAGCACTCTTGCACGCAAGATGTGCCCGACTAAGGTCATGGCTGATTTTGTGGCCTCCAT